ACTGGAGCACAGAACGAAGCACATCGCTCTGCGTTACTTCCTGGCTCGAGAGTTGCAGCAGCGTGGTCAGCTTCGTCTTGCACACGTGGCCACTCGGGCCAACACTGCTGATATATTCACCAAGGCACTTCCGTCTGGTGATCATCAGCGCTTTTGTACCTTGTTGGGCCTTGTGCCTACGTTTCCACACTTGCTGTAGACTCTGCCTGTACTGTGATCTTTATATATATATATACCTGCATGCTTGCTCTTGCTAGGTAGTGATCACTGTACTTTGTTTGTTGCATATATACCTCTGCATGTGGACAGGCCTTGTGGCCCTTTGCTTGTGCTCAGTGTGTGTGGTGACGTTGTGATCCACCCTGAGCTTGTTTTGTTTCTCTTGACTGGTCTTGTGACCCCTTGTTCTCCCCCACTTTGCCTATGGGGGTGTGTCAAACTATGCATATTGTGTTTGTGTAGGCTGCTAGTGGGGTAGCCCATATGGGGTACAACCCAATGTTAGGGTTAGCTTATGTACCCAACTCTTGATCAATGCATCATCCTTGTCTCTAGATTCTAACACTCTACTCAGTGTCAGACTCTAGCGCCACAGTGGCGCGGACATCAAGCCCATTGTCATCATCACTGTCGTCCGACAGTGCTAGAGCTGCACATGCCTTGCCCTTCTTAGAGGTCCTCCGCCTGACCACATCCTCATCATCTTCGTCTTCATTGGAGGCAGCAGCTGACGTTCCTCTCTCGGCCTTCCGCTTTGGGGCTCTCTCTGGAGTGTTCTTGGTCGTCACTTCCTTAGCAGGGCGCCTCTTATTTTCCCCCCTCCAAGCAGCCACCACGTCGTCCCAGTTCGGCTCGTACTGCAGGAGCGACACCGACATCAGGTCCGCCAGGCGTGTGTTGCAAAGATTCCCGCGGAGCCACGATTTGATGATGTTTTGCCTCGAGAAGCCGCGGTCGCACTCGACGGTGCTCAGCGGCAGCACGGCGAGGGCGATCCAGATGCGGACCATGTTGGGGTAGCTCGTCTCCCAGTCTTCACTGCGCAACATGTGCTTGAGGCCGGCGTGGAAGGTCTGGTCCTTGAACTGCGCGGCCATCATCTTGGTGAACGGCACCAGTTCTCGTCCCGCCTTTTTCCAGCTCACTCCTGCTCACGCACAATTGCAAGTACAAGAGGGGGGGGGGGGCGGCGGGGAGATAAGTCATTGGCGGTAACATATCACCGAGCGACTAACATAGATGCACCACAGAGACGCACAGATTACCTGGAAGTACGCACTTCTCCGCACTGAACAGCGTGCGGAGAGACTGGAACCAGGATGCGCAGAGGCGGTCTCTCTTCGCGCTTCCCTCGGGGTACGCGTCAGGCAGGAAAAGCTTCGCTCCGGTGAGGGTGTCTAGGCTCTCCATCCGCTTTAGGAGGTGCTTCACAACTTCCTGCGCAAACTGGCGGGTTACAGTGATGCAAGATTCAAGGTCCCCTTTGGACTTCTGACCCTTGATGGCTTCCTCGTGCAGCTTGAAAGTGTGCTTGACGGGACTTCCCTCCCCATCCATGCCTTCGACCGTCACCTCCCGCTTGTCCCACGCTCCGTGCTTCTCCATGAACTCTGTGAGCAACTCACTATCCTCAGCGTAGTTGACGCCGTGCTCGATGTATCGCTGCTTCAGCTTGTCGCACGTGTTGTGGACCATTGATGCCACCCGGGTGATGTCCACCTGCTCAAGGCAAGACGCAATAGTCAGACACGCTCGTGTGCATAAACATCAGCACGGACCTCTCAACTGCTCACCGTGCGCCGTTGAAACTTGAGGTTCAGCTCGTTGAGCAGTTTCAGCAAATCTGCCAGGAAAAACAGGAAGAAGTGGAACTTGACACTCGAGACTGTCTTGTAGGCCTTCTTGTCTTGCTCCCACAACACCACTATCGCCGCCGGTAGGACTGCCACGAGCCTCCGAATCGCATCGCCACGCGCCAGCCATCGAACGTCTTCAAACCCCTGCACCTCCAGAGACGTCTCGTGCATGATGTGTTGTAGCTCCATGAACCGGGAGTGCAAGACGATGCTCCTCCCCAAGTTCTCTGCGATGCTCCGCACGACCGTGTCGACCATGTTGAGGTCGGTCACCGCCTCCGCCGCGTCCTTCGCGGCGAGAGCCTCCCTGCAAGAGTGCAATAACAAGCGGTTTGAACAATGCAAAACGTGTGACAACAAAAACAAAAACCACCGTTACAGAAATGTCGTCATCGCACCTGTGAGCGATGCAGTGGCACGTCACCAGGTGTGGGACTCGCAGTTTCAGTTGGGTCGCCACTCCAGCCTGTGAACCCCGCATCACGCTCGCGCCATCCGTACTGATGCCCGACAATTTCATGATGTCGACGCCCGTGACGGCCAAATGGGCGAGAAGTACTGTCAGCAGAGACGACGCGTCGCACTTCTCGACTGTCAGGTGCCCAAACAGCTCGGTGACGACCTCGGCGTCGCGAATGAAGCTCAGGTAGACGATCATATGCTTGCCTCTGCGCCGGTCGGTACTCTCGTCGAGTTGAATTCCTAGGAACGGAGACGCCTGGATGTGGCGCATCTGCTGCTGCTTCAGGTTGGTGACGAGCGCTTCGGTTATTTCACGGAAGCCGTACCTGCACAACACAGTGAAGGTGGTATTAGTCGTAGTGACGATAAATACACAGAACAAGAAGGACTTTTCACTCACGCTGACTGGTATGTCCCTATGGACTTGTCCGGGATGTGCGGCGTCTGAAGCTCGGCCAACAGGCGAACAAGATCAACGAACAGGGAGATGGGGGAATCGGATTTGCAGATAAATAGCACGACCAGCATCAATTTTTTCAGCCGCGACGTCTCGTTGTCGTCGTTTTCGAACTCCTCAATGCCCCTTTGGTCAACCTTACCGCCTTCGGCGCGAAGCTGGGCATTGACGGCGTCCTGATGCTTCCGGCTGAGCGCGTGCTTCCGCATCGTTTGCCGCTGGATATCAACGCCACCTTCGCCGTTCTTACCGAACTTCCAGTGGGCTGGACCGTGAGCTATGCATATGCTGCACTTCATGCATGGCGTCCCGTCCTTCCTCTGCGTGATAATCAGCCACTTGAATTTGTCGCGCCAATATTCCTTCGACAGCTCTTGGAGCTTCTCCATAAGCGAGTCTGGATCAGGGACATGGATGGTGCTCCTGGAAGGCCCAGGATCACCTGTGGGATGAGCTGCTGGTGCTGCTGATGCTGCAGCAGCCTCAACTCTAGGCGATGGCGTGGGGCGTGACACGATGCGGACGTGAGGAACCCCTGTCTTAGCAATCCGTAGCGTGCTCTGGGTATATCGGCCTGCCTTGGGGAATCGGGGCACGGCAGTACCACGTGAAGTGCTAGGCGCCGCTTGCGATCTAGGATTAGGTGTAATCCGTGTAGAGGTACTAGGGGAGACGGGCGGTGTGCTACTGAAAGCCCGTCTAGCATTAACAGCAGGCCATGAAACAGGAGTGACGTCCAGCCGATTCGGGGAAGAAGACGTTGGAACGCGTGTCGGCGAAGACGCGCCTAACACGGCGGCTGGCTGGGAGCGGCGTAGGAAATCTAGGCCCGTGACTGGTGGTTTGGGCCGTGGGGTGGGTGATTCAGCAGCTTCCGTGTCGTCCGCCATGGCGAGAGGGCGGACTTACGTGACTAGGGCGAGATTCGTCTGTAATCGCGGTGAAAATGGCTGGGTAGGGCGTTTGTAAGAGAAGGTTGGAGACGAAAGACCCCCCCGAAACCCCAACGCCCGACCACAGAGCCCTGTTGACGAACCGCGCATGGCTCCCGAGAACTGTGGGTGGCACCACTTGACTGTGGTGAACCCAAACCGCGCTTCCTGAACCTTCGTCAGGCGCCGAAATTGTGGGTTTGTGGTGCTGGATTGATGACTGTTGTTCTAAACTAGCCAATCCCACACTTGTGACAGGCCACGTACGACAGTAACTATCCTGCGTGGGCAATTCGTGACACAGACATCACGTGAGTGCGTCATAGAACCTGACTGTTTGCCTGTTGCAGCGGCATTTTGTGGATGTGGTGGCGAAAGAAACACGTGGGAGCACAGGGGGCGGAATGTATGATGCATACATTCCGGTAATCACGGCTAAACACCCGCACCACGCCTTGCTCACGCGTGAATCACGCCTAAGGGTAGAAAGATTCGGTAACAGACGAAACCCGAAAGTGTTCCTGATGTATCAGATGAACATGGAAACCGTTTCTGGTGGATCAGATACAGCTGAAAAGCATTTCTGAATGAACAGATTTCACTAAGTGCATATTTCTGAATTATCAGATTAAATCAAAAACTAGCCCTCAAATATAGGACAAACAGACAAAAAATTTCTGCTAGCGACGTCCCTGGTACACATGTATCAGAGCACATGTACACATGTATCAGAGCACATGTACACATGTATCAGAGCACATGTACACATGTATCAGAGCACATGTACACATGTATCAGAGCACATGTATCAGAGCACATGTACGCATACCAAAAGGGCTAGCTTGGCTTCTTAGTAGAGCAAGTGGCCGTAGTGCTAGTGGGAGTGTTTGCAATTGTATTGATACGATGAGTGCTCCTGCTGCTACACACCACGTGTTGGCTGTGCTGAGTGATGACTCGTGCATTCTGCTCAACGAAGCCATACGCACATGACTTGACTCATGACGCTCTGGGTCTAGGAGCAAACCAGCAAGCTCTGCCTGCCAGGTCATGGTTGCATGCATGGTGTTCTGGATGGCCGTCATGTCAAGCCTCTGATTTTGTTGATTCACGGCTGATTTCTCGTGAGCCATTTCTTTGGAATAACAGTGATCTTTCTCTGATTCTGCCCTTGTGGTACTCGGAATTTGCAAATGATTCAAAATTCTGAGAGCAAGGCATTTCCAGCTTGCTAAAGAGCCAACCCAAGGGGCTCACACGCCCCTGCAACCATGCCCTGGCATGTGAGGGTGGTCACATGAAGTAGGAGAGGGGGGTGATCTTGCGCGAGGCGCCCTCCCCAAACTGTTCGTTCCACTGCATCAGCTCCATCATTGCTGCAGCATCGCTGCTCACACTCGCACGCACCTGCCAGGCACAGTGAGTAGAAGAACACCGTAGCGTGTGTGGTCGCATGTTACAATGGTCAAATGGCATGAAGAACCACTATATCGTGGCACCAGCATGACATGGCAGCACGGCAACACGGCAGCAGGGCAACATGACTCACCTTCTCCATGGCCTTCCGCATGTCCTCCATGCTGATTGGCCGCAGGCATGGTGCAGCGGCAGGGGAAGCCGAGCCTTGAGAGGCATAGTCAGCAGCACCAGCCTCGCCCTCCCGGCTGCCACTCGCTGCTGCGCTACTGCGTCCACTGCTGCCCTCCGCACCTCCCTTCCTCCTCTCCGCCTCCTCCTTCTCCTGCACGCACAGCCCCAAAGACATTGGTGGAAGTTCGGGTGGTGGGACGTGAGAGGGGCTCGCTGCGATGCACAGCACAATGGAGTACCATATGTACAAAGAAAATGGAGCACTGCGTGGCGTTCTAGAGACCTCATGGCAGGTAGCAAGGCAATATGGGAAGGCATACAGCAACAGATGGATAGACCTTGGCCCTTGCCAGCAGCACACACGCACCGTTTCTATGTCGCAATGACCCCTCACCTTCTCCTCGCCCCTCACCTTCTCCTCGCCCCTCACCTTCTCCTCGCCCCTCACCTTCTCCTCGCCCCTCACCTTCTCCTCGCCCCTCACCTTCTCCTCGCTCCTCACCTTCTCCTCGCCCCTCACCTTCTCCTCGCCCCTCACCTTCTCCTCCCAAGCAGCCCTCACTTTCCTCTCCTTGTCCAGAAACTCCTTTATTCTCAGGAACGCTGCTGTCACACACAGATTCTGCTCACACACAGTAAGAGGATAAGGGAAGGGCAGGGGCGACAGGTGGGAGGAGGGGTGTTGGAGAGAGTGGCGCGTGCAGGGGGTGATATTTCCATTGCTTGTGATTGGCGGAACGTACGTTGGTAAGAAAATCAAGTGAAGGGGCCAGTGGTACTCGGTGGCAGGAGCATTCAGTCAGATGTCTCAGACGCAGCCAGAAACGCCTCACCTTGAGGTCGCTACCAGAGTAGCCATCGGTGGCAGCAGCGAGCTCGTCTGTGGAGAAGCCGGGGTCCAGTTGCTCATCTTTGAGAATCACCGCCAGGATCTTCGCTCGGTTGGTGCAGTCAGGCAGATCCACCAACAGCCTGTCAGCACACAGAGTGGGCAGGAAGGAGAAGAGGGGGCGGATGGTTGTTGTGACAGGAGCAATAGTTTGTGCAGCACGGCAGGTCTACAAACAGCCCGTGAGCAGAGAGGGCGGGCAGGGAGGAAAAGACGGAGGGGAGGGTTGCTGAAGTGAGAGGAGCGATTGTTTGTGCAAACAGGCAGATCCACGAACAGCCTGCGAGCACACGGAGCGGGCATTTGGAGGAGAAGAGGGAGGGAGGGTTGTTGAAGGGAGAGGAGCGACTGTTGGTGCAGCCAGGCAGATTGTTGCAGTTCCCACCTGCAGGTGGGAACTCCAGGTGGGAAGGAACTGGAGGTAGGAACTGCAGGTGGGAACACAAATAGGCAGGCGCCTCCAGTCACACACCCAGGCAGGCGCCTCCAGTCAGACACCCAGGCGGGCGCCTCCAGTCACACACCCAGGCAGGCGCCTCCAGTCACACACCCAGGCAGGCGCCTCCAGTCACACACCCAGGCAGGCGCCTCCAGTCACACACCTCGGCAGGCGCCTCCAGTCACACACCCAGGCAGGCGCCTCCAGTCACACACCCAGGCGGGCACCTCCAGTCACACACCTAGGCAGGCGCCTCCAGTCACGCACCCAGGCAGGCCAGGAAGCTTCTGATGACAGCGTCGTCAAGGTCGTGCGGGTGGTCGGTGGCGCCGAGCATCAGGATGCTGAGAGGCGGCCAACAAGTGTACAGCCTTCAGAAGATCTTGGCGCAGCACGCACCTTCTAGGAAACCGCCTGATAACGGCGTCGTCCAAGTCGTGGGGGCGCTGAGCACGGGTATGCTGAGAGCATGCATGGAAAAGAAAGTGCGTGGGCACCGCATGCATGGAAAAGAAAGTGCGTGGGCACCGCATGCATGGAAAAGAAAGTGCGTGGGCACCGCATGCATGGAAAAGAAAGTGCGTGGGCACCGCATGCATGGAAAAGAAAGTGCGTGGGCAGCGCATGCATGGAAAAGAAAGTGCGTGGGCACCGCATGCATGGAAAAGAAAGTGCGTGGGCACCGCATGCATGGAAAAGAAAGTGCGTGGGCACCGCATGCATGGAAAAGAAAGTGCGTGGGCACCGCATGCATGGAAAAGAAAGTGCGTGGGCACCGCATGCATGGAAAAGAAAGTGCGTGGGCACCGCATGCATGGAAAAGAAAGTGCGTGGGCACCGCATGCATGGAAAAGAAAGTGCGTGGGCACCGCATGCATGGAAAAGAAAGTGCGTGGGCACCGCATGCATGGAAAAGAAAGTGCGTGGGCACCGCATGCATGGAAAAGAAAGTGCGTGGGCACCGCATGCATGGAAAAGAAAGTGCGTGGGCACCGCATGCATGGAAAAGAAAGTGCGTGGGCACCGCATGCATGGAAAAGAAAGTGCGTGGGCACCGCATGCATGGAAAAGAAAGTGCGTGGGCACCGCATGCATGGAAAAGAAAGTGCGTGGGCACCGCATGCATGGAAAAGAAAGTGCGTGGGCACCGCATGCATGGAAAAGAAAGTGCGTGGGCACCGCATGCATGGAAAAGAAAGTGCGTGGGCACCGCATGCATGGAAAAGAAAGTGCGTGGGCACCGCATGCATGGAAAAGAAAGTGCGTGGGCACCGCATGCATGGAAAAGAAAGTGCGTGGGCACCGCATGCATGGAAAAGAAAGTGCGTGGGCACCGCATGCATGGAAAAGAAAGTGCGTGGGCACCGCATGCATGGAAAAGAAAGTGCGTGGTCACCGCATGCATGGAAAAGAAAGTGCGTGGGCACCGCATGCATGGAAAAGAAAGTGCGTGGGCACCGCATGCATGGAAAAGAAAGTGCGTGGGCACCGCATGCATGGAAAAGAAAGTGCGTGGGCACCGCATGCATGGAAAAGAAAGTGCGTGGGCACCGCATGCATGGAAAAGAAAGTGCGTGGGCACCGCATGCATGGAAAAGAAAGTGCGTGGGCACCGCATGCATGGAAAAGAAAGTGCGTGGGCACCGCATGCATGGAAAAGAAAGTGCGTGGGCACCGCATGCATGGAAAAGAAAGTGCGTGGGCACCGCATGCATGGAAAAGAAAGTGCGTGGGCAGCGCATGCATGGAAAAGAAAGTGCGTGGGCACCGCATGCATGGAAAAGAAAGTGCGTGGGCACCGCATGCATGGAAAAGAAAGTGCGTGGGCACCGCATGCATGGAAAAGAAAGTGCGTGGGCACCGCATGCATGGAAAAGAAAGTGCGTGGGCACCGCATGCATGGAAAAGAAAGTGCGTGGGCACCGCATGCATGGAAAAGAAAGTGCGTGGGCACCGCATGCATGGAAAAGAAAGTGCGTGGGCACCGCATGCATGGAAAAGAAAGTGCGTGGGCACCGCATGCATGGAAAAGAAAGTGCGTGGGCACCGCATGCATGGAAAAGAAAGTGCGTGGGCACCGCATGCATGGAAAAGAAAGTGCGTGGGCACCGCATGCATGGAAAAGAAAGTGCGTGGGCACCGCATGCATGGAAAAGAAAGTGCGTGGGCACCGCATGCATGGAAAAGAAAGTGCGTGGGCACCGCATGCATGGAAAAGAAAGTGCGTGGGCACCGCATGCATGGAAAAGAAAGTGCGTGGGCACCGCATGCATGGAAAAGAAAGTGCGTGGGCACCGCATGCATGGAAAAGAAAGTGCGTGGGCACCGCATGCATGGAAAAGAAAGTGCGTGGGCACCGCATGCATGGAAAAGAAAGTGCGTGGGCACCGCATGCATGGAAAAGAAAGTGCGTGGGCACCGCATGCATGGAAAAGAAAGTGCGTGGGCACCGCATGCATGGAAAAGAAAGTGCGTGGGCACCGCATGCATGGAAAAGAAAGTGCGTGGGCACCGCATGCATGGAAAAGAAAGTGCGTGGGCACCGCATGCATGGAAAAGAAAGTGCGTGGGCACCGCATGCATGGAAAAGAAAGTGCGTGGGCACCGCATGCATGGAAAAGAAAGTGCGTGGGCACCGCATGCATGGAAAAGAAAGTGCGTGGGCACCGCATGCATGGAAAAGAAAGTGCGTGGGCACCGCATGCATGGAAAAGAAAGTGCGTGGGCACCGCATGCATGGAAAAGAAAGTGCGTGGGCACCGCATGCATGGAAAAGAAAGTGCGTGGGCACCGCATGCATGGAAAAGAAAGTGCGTGGGCACCGCATGCATGGAAAAGAAAGTGCGTGGGCACCGCATGCATGGAAAAGAAAGTGCGTGGGCACCGCATGCATGGAAAAGAAAGTGCGTGGGCACCGCATGCATGGAAAAGAAAGTGCGTGGGCACCGCATGCATGGAAAAGAAAGTGCGTGGGCACCGCATGCATGGAAAAGAAAGTGCGTGGGCACCGCATGCATGGAAAAGAAAGTGCGTGGGCACCGCATGCATGGAAAAGAAAGTGCGTGGGCACCGCATGCATGGAAAAGAAAGTGCGTGGGCACCGCATGCATGGAAAAGAAAGTGCGTGGGCACCGCATGCATGGAAAAGAAAGTGCGTGGGCACCGCATGCATGGAAAAGAAAGTGCGTGGGCACCGCATGCATGGAAAAGAAAGTGCGTGGGCACCGCATGCATGGAAAAGAAAGTGCGTGGGCACCGCATGCATGGAAAAGAAAGTGCGTGGGCACCGCATGCATGGAAAAGAAAGTGCGTGGGCACCGCATGCATGGAAAAGAAAGTGCGTGGGCACCGCATGCATGGAAAAGAAAGTGCGTGGGCACCGCATGCATGGAAAAGAAAGTGCGTGGGCACCGCATGCATGGAAAAGAAAGTGCGTGGGCACCGCATGCATGGAAAAGAAAGTGCGTGGGCACCGCATGCATGGAAAAGAAAGTGCGTGGGCACCGCATGCATGGAAAAGAAAGTGCGTGGGCACCGCATGCATGGAAAAGAAAGTGCGTGGGCACCGCATGCATGGAAAAGAAAGTGCGTGGGCACCGCATGCATGGAAAAGAAAGTGCGTGGGCACCGCATGCATGGAAAAGAAAGTGCGTGGGCACCGCATGCATGGAAAAGAAAGTGCGTGGGCACCGCATGCATGGAAAAGAAAGTGCGTGGGCACCGCATGCATGGAAAAGAAAGTGCGTGGGCACCGCATGCATGGAAAAGAAAGTGCGTGGGCACCGCATGCATGGAAAAGAAAGTGCGTGGGCACCGCATGCATGGAAAAGAAAGTGCGTGGGCACCGCATGCATGGAAAAGAAAGTGCGTGGGCACCGCATGCATGGAAAAGAAAGTGCGTGGGCACCGCATGCATGGAAAAGAAAGTGCGTGGGCACCGCATGCACCTTCTGGGGAAGCGTCTGATAACGGCGTCATCAAGGTCGTGTGGACGGTTGGTGGCACCGAGCACGAGAATGCGCTCCGCCTGTTTGGATCGCAGCCCGTCCCATGCGGCCATGAACTCGTTCTTGAGCTTCCTCATCGCACTGTGCTCCGAGTCTCCCCCGCGCCGCCCCAACATGCTGTCAACCTGGTGATGGGGGCACAGGAGGGACACACAGAAAAGGAGAGTTAAAGGGAGGGGCATGTTGCACAGCAAAGGGAAATCCTATTGTACCTTCCGCACGGGCGCTGTGCTCTGTGCCCCTTTCACCGTTGCCCCAACACGCTGCCGTGCTGACGGTATGGTGGTGGTAATCCTACGGCGCTGACGAAGGCCTCACGGCCGAAACGCGTACGCCTACGTTCTTTACTGAAGTTGGACTTACCAAGTCCTGATTCTACCGTTTTTTCCCACTCTAAGTACTCCTAGTTGTTAGTCAAGAATTTCGAGGAGACCCTACGCTTGCTGCGGCTCGAATCCATATTTTCTTGCGTACTCCAGCAGAAAAGCAGGTGTGAAGAGCAGGGTCAATGAGACGATGCATGCTCAGCAGAGAGGATACAAGGCAGAGAGGCTCAGCAGAGAGGATACAAGGCAGAGAGGCTCAGCAGAGAGGATACAAGGCAGAGAGGCTCAGCAGAGAGGATACAAGGCAGAGAGGCTCAGCAGAGAGGATACAAGGCAGAGAGGCTCAGCAGAGAGGATACAAGGCAGAGAGGCTCAGCAGAGAGGATACAAGGCAGAGAGGCTCAGCAGAGAGGATACAAGGCAGAGAGGCTCAGCAGAGAGGATACAAGGCAGAGAGGCTCAGCAGAGAGGATACAAGGTAGAGAGGCTCAGCAGAGAGGATACAAGGCAGAGAGGCTCAGCAGAGAGGATACAAGGCAGAGAGGCTCAGCAGAGAGGATACAAGGCAGAGAGGCTCAGCAGAGAGGATACAAGGCAGAGAGGCTCAGCAGAGAGGATACAAGGCAGAGAGGCTCAGCAGAGAGGATACAAGGCAGAGAGGCTCAGCAGAGAGGATACAAGGCAGAGAGGCTCAGCAGAGAGGATACAAGGCAGAGAGGCTCAGCAGAGAGGATACAAGGCAGAGAGGCTCAGCAGAGAGGATACAAGGCAGAGAGGCTCAGCAGAGAGGATACAAGGCGGTGCCATGCATCTTAGAGTTTGAATCACCCTGCTCATGAAGAGTATTGCCCCCCTCAACTCAAGGCTCATGCCATCCATTACTGCTCACTCACCCACCTCCTCCGCCACTCATCACTCACCTCGTCCACGAAGATGACACATGGCGCGATTTTACTGGCCAGCGTGAACACGGCCTTCACATACTTCTCTGCCTCTCCAAACCACTGGCGGGCGTTCAAGGGGAGAGAAAGGGAACAGAGGGGAGAGAAGAGAGGGCTCGGAGGGGAGAGAAGAGAGGGCTCAGAGGGGAGACTCACAAAAGTTTGCAATGGAGATTGGAGAAAAATTAATCAGAAGAAGGAGAACAATCTCCAATCATGGAGAACAGAGAGAAGGAGCATGGAGACATAAGAACAGAGAGAAGGAGCATGGAGACATAAGAACAGAGAGAAGGAGCATGGAGACATAAGAAGAGAGAGAAGGAGCATGGAGACATAAGAACAGAGAGAAGGAGCATGGAGACATAAGAAGAGAGAGAAGGAGCATGGAGACATAAGAAGAGAGAGAAGGAGCATGGAGACATAAGAAGAGAGAGAAGGAGCATGGAGACATAAGAAGAGAGAGAAGGAGCATGGAGACATAAGAACAGAGAGAAGGAGCATGGAGACATAAGAAGAGAGAGAAGGAGCATGGAGACATAAGAAGAGAGAGAAGGAGCATGGAGACATAAGAAGAGAGAGAAGGAGCATGGAGACATAAGAA